TATTAGATGAATCTATAACTTTTTTATATACAATATCCATTTATATATGGTGTGTGTAAAGCATATTTAGTTATAGTGATCTTTATAATATAATATAATTATAATAAAATATGTAAATAAAATAATTATGAACGATAACAGAATTACCTCAAATAGTTGAAATAGAGATTCGTGTTGAGAACATTTTATAAAATAAATAAGAAGGAAGAACGATATTGTATGAAGATGGGGAATAGATAATACATTTGTATACAAATATTTTTTTTGTATGTTCCAAATGATTTATACAAATGTTTATTTATAGACTGACAAATCGATATGAAAATATATAATACGAATTTTTATTATCGTGGAAACCTCAACTGTTATCTTTGAGATGCGTTGGTTGGGTAAATCTATGTCCACGTGTACGAACCCACAACACATATTTAGAAAGTAAATCAGTCGTAATTGACGAATCACAAAAGAAATAATATGATTTAAATGCAAAGCGGAGAACATGGAAATGATTGAAGAGTTAATGGAGATAATTGGATAGTGGACAAATGGATATTAACTGCATTATTATTTTGTATCTATTAAAATAAACATTATAAAAAAAAATATAAACTAATCACCTTATTGTTAAATAAATTTTTATATGTATCGTGTTATTAATTTACATGAATTATATAAAATTACATTTTCTTTATCTCTTAAATTTTATCAAATAACTAAAAATCTAAAATCATCTTCAGTAAAATTCTAAACAAAGAATTTGATGGAGAAATAACACTGAAAAAAAAAGATATTTCAACGTGCTCGTTTGATTTGAAAACCAAGACAGATCACTTCCATCATGGGATTCGCGCAAATTACAAAAATATGTCGAAAATATCAAACATCAATACCAAATTATAGTCACCAAATTATATATATATATATATATAAATATATATATATATATTGATATGCAGATCGGATTGAAATATTTTGTAGGCACCTAACTCGTAGGGTAGGGATGGTGTCAAAGATGGGAAATTGATGAAAATGATGAACTTATTATTGTGCTCTTTTCTTTTTTGATTTGATTTTTAAAATTATTTTTTTTAAAAAAAGACAATATAGCTCTCGCGTGCATATGAATAGGAATTCTTGTCCGATTGATTTTCCAATATGGCGGGTCCATTTCTAATGGGGAGACCATTTCTTATCCAATTCATATAAAATATCAAATAAATAATTAGAAATCATGAGAGAAAGTGGCATGATTTGCGAGTAGTGGTTATTAGCAAAAATTATAGAAAATTTATCAATTTATTCTAATATTAAGAATTTTATTAAAAAAATTATGTTATATACTTCAAAATAATTAAATTATCAATGTAATGACACCATTTCCGTTAAAAGTTATCAACCACAATATAAAAAATATAAAACTAAATATAAAATTCATTAACATATAAATTTTGTACACTTAAAACACGTAATAAGATCTTTCCAATAGATATAATTTGGTTGTCAAATGATTTTTGTGTAATATTTGGCCTAATGGGGTTTGAACTTGGGTTGATTAGAAACATTATGTGCTACCTGACCACCAGAACATCCTATTTGGTTTTAAAATCTTATGGTTGATGTGCGAATATACATAGATCATGCATTCAAAATAAAATAATATAGATTTTATATCAAAACAATCAAACACATAAGACTAGAGATATCATGATCAATTACAAATATTTAAAAATTGAATTTAAATGAGTTTAATGGTATAAAGATTGAATTCAAAAGGTTGGGATAATTCTAATGTATATTTAGATTTATCAAGCTAATAAATTATAGGCATACTAATTATTTGATTTTAAATAGAATAATGATATTTAGATACAGTGGATACTATACTCAAACAATGTCTTAAAGATATTTAATCAAATTTATCAATGGATCTGAAAATCTAAATTAAATTCAAAATATAAAACTATTCATATTCCTTTTTACGAAAATGATTATTTAGTTTATTCAACAAATAGTTTTACGAGACTATACTTTTCTTCGTGTTGATGGGGTAAATGAAACCTCTCATATAATAAAATTATATAAAATGAGTAGAGCGAAGAGCTAGAAGTTTTTAGATCATAGATAATTAATTTAATTAGATTGGTAACAATAAAAAAATTAGATATTCAATCGAGTGCGAAAATAAATTTTATAGGTAAAATGTCGGATTTATATATGTATCCATCTAATCAAATTATAAAAAATATAATAAAAATTTTTTAAAAAAAATAATCACCAGATTATACGATGATTCCTCCTGATTTCTCCATCTTCATCTCTCTCTCCTTTTATCACTAGCAAAAAACTTGAATTTCCCTCCTTTCATATCTTTGTTTTTGTTATCTTTCATCTTAAATATACATGAATATTTAGATATTTACGAAATATTAAAATTCAAATAATTGAGATATATATATTCAACATCATATTTTAAAATCTTAAATCTGAACTATTCAATTTTCGGAAATTCTATACTGTCAAATTCTCGTATGCCGGACTTTCCGGCAAGTGGTGGAAGTCGGTAGTGCGTGAAAAGCACGCGCGTAAGCCCGACAGTGGAGGATTCGGGTGATGACGTAATCCGAATCTACGCCCCTGGGTCAAGAGAGGCCCCGCACGATCACTGGCACGTGTACGGTGCAGATCTTTGTGGGCCCCGAAAATGCCTAATTTCTCATTATTTGTGTTCCAGACAGGGAAAAAAAAAAGAAAGGACCACAAAGTTTGCAAAATCTTCTGCCATATGATTCTCTCTGCCTTTTTCTTTAAATGACGAAGATGACCTACACTCCTTCATTTTAACTAGGGATGACCACTTCCATTTCGCATTAAGGTTCAGATTCGGTTCGATTATTTCGATTAAAGAAATACTATAACTATTTGGTTTTTATATAAATTTCGGTTCGATTTGCTTTGGATTCAGTTTGATTTCAGTAAAAAATTATTTTTTCAAAGAAATTATCGGGTTTTTCGGTTATTTTTTTATTCGGTTCGATTCTGCTTAGTTTCGATATTTTCGGATTTAAGAAAATCATAACCATTCGATTTTGATATCAGGTTTGGTTCGGATATGGTTATGTCTTATTCGATTCGGTTTGCTTCGAATTATTCGGTTAATAACTGAAATAGTCACCCTACTTTTAACCTTAATTAGTTTAAACAATCTTAAAAATTTTTAATCCAAAAATTCACGATCCAACTAAATTTTAAAAAATATAAGAGAAATCTATTTGAATAATCCTCCCCAAATAACCATCTTATATTCTATTCCTTATACCCACAATTCTAATATGTGATATCTTATATCATTGAACACGCATACTGTTACAAATAATATTTAAAAGTAGTAATATTTTAGTTTCTTATTTTTAGATTTTACATGTAAAATTATTAAAAAAATTTAAATTAATAAACAAAAATCATATTTAGAAATACTAGTAATAACAAGAAAAAAAAATTATGGTCGAGAATTCCATAATGTTAGCATGTTTCGTCTCGAATTTTCTCTAAACACCTAATCGAAACATCGTTATGGTCTTATTCGTTGTTTTCATGATCTGACGAATCATTTTCATTTCTTTGTTCGTAAATTCTATCTCAAATTCAATATATCGTAAGTTTGATAAAATGAGTAAAAAAATTATGCAATGCCATTGTGCGGCCACAATCGAAAACTCGTCATTTTGCATTCCATATTTTTAAAGTTTGCCCAATTATCGATTTAAGAGTAGAACGCCACAATCTCTTCGCGATAAAGCATGAGAAAGTCAGAAGCAGAATCATCTAAATAATATTATCTAGATCCATGGCTAATGCTAGGAAATTTGTATAATGAGCAGATTTATGAATGTCGATCTTCCGGCTCTAATGACTATTATCTAATGCACTATATATAGCACTTCTAAAATACAACCATCTTATATTTAATATCAATTTCATATAGAGTTGTATAAATTCATTTGTGAAAGGATAATTATAATTTTCATAATCTTATTCTTTATGCATAAAGCATAAGACGACATCCCCGACATTCTAGGATAATTTTTCCCGTTTTCCAGCAAGTTAAAGTGAAGTGGAGGTTGCATGCAAATCTTACCGCCAAACTTCAGAGCTTGGTGGCGCGTGTATGTTTGACTTCTTGTGTTGACTTCAATGCTTCTTCTTGACATCTAAATCATTGACGGAATCGGGTTTCGATTTAATTTGGATTCACTTTAACTATTTTTTTTATTCGTAATTTTCCATTTTCATATTGAATTTTATTTTTTCTGATATAATTCGAAATCAATTTTCATTAAAAAAATATAAAAAAGATGTTATTTTTATATTCGATTATTTAGATTTTTCGATTTTAAAAGATTTAAAATTTTATATCCCGTTATTTTTATATCAAATTTAATTCGAAAAAAACATATGTTATTCAATTTCACTTGACCGTACTGTAATGGGAACCTCTAAAAAAAACAAATTTAACTAGATAAAAAAAACTGTACGTTTTGTTAGTGGAAAACAACAATGTGAAATCTAGGGTATCAATTTAGATTCATGATCCAGTCTCGATCACTCCGAAAAATAGTGGATTTCAAATCTAAGTTTTTTAATTAAAAAAATCAGATTTTCGGACCGGACTCAAATCGGGTTTTTGATCCTATTGGGACTTGTTCGAAAGTTCGATATTTTTTTCAAAAAAATCTTAATAAAAAAAAACTTTAATTATAAAATAATTTGAACGGTCCGATCTGATCTAAACTCGAAATATATAGGACCGGTTTTGGGTTTGGTTATATAAGCACGAAAAAACCGGGTCGGTCTGAGCCTAAACCCAAAACCCTCGAATCGAGTGCGGGATCGGGCCGACCAGGTCCGATTGACACCACTAGCGAAATTTGAGTGAATAGTGAGAATATAAGGACTGAGATGTAATTAAGGAACAAAAAAAAAAGGAGAAGAAGAAGAAGAAGGATCACATGGGATGGAGGCGCGTGTTTGGGAAGCAGTGAGAGTGCGCAGAGAATTAAATGGACACTAAGTAACTTCCCTCACTGTCATCTACTTGTCCGAATTCCAAACTTCAATGCAAATACCAAATCAATTTTTTTTCCCTTTCCTTTTGTTAGTTTTTGTTTGCTCCCAGTTTTAGGAGGGAAAAGCTTCATCAAACCAACAAACACCTTCTCGGAAATTCCGTAACCCTACTTCTCTCTTCTCTTCCTGAACCCACAAAGAAAATCTCAAGTTCAGTATTCACAGAGAGAGAGAGAGAGAGAGAGAGAGAGAGAGAGAGAGAGAGAATGTTTGCAGCTGAGAATGGCCTGGAAGGAGACCCAAGGCTACAAGCCATTTCAGAAGCTATAAGGGTTATTCCCAATTTTCCTAAAAAAGGTCTGTTCTTTTTCTTTTGGAGATTATGAAGATTTTGCAGGAATTAGACGCTTTTTCTGCTTTGCTTACATGTATATATATATATATATGTGTGTGTGTGTGTGTGTATGTATCTATGTATGTATGTCAATAATTTTGGATGCAGGAATAATGTTTCAAGACATAACGACACTGCTGCTGGATCCGAAGGCGTTCAAGCACACTGTTGACATCTTCGTTGATCGTTACAGAGATATGAAGATCTCTGTCGTCGCTGGTACATCTCAACACATACATACATATGCATCATGTACATTTACATGTACACACACACACATCATATACATACACGTGCTTGCAACTGCTTCTCTCTCTCTCTCTCTCTCTCTCTCTCTCTCTCTCTCTCTCTCTCTCTGTGCGTGTGTTCTTTTGATGTTTGTTTTTGTTTTCTGAGACGGGAGGAAGCAAATGGGTTTCTTTCTCGTGGTCTTACGGATCTCGGGAAACATTTATTGTGGAACCTAACCTAAACTTTTTTTTTTCTTTTCGATAGAGGAAAAAATAAACTTAAAATCTTTTTTTTTTGGTTTAATGTGATTAAATACACTTAAATCTTATTAATCTTAGGTTGGTGTCTTAATGAGAGGGGTCTGTTTCATTTCACATCTAACAATTTTACATCCCCTAGCTTGTGGGTCTAATCTGAACCCAACAGACATCCTTTGAAGTAATGGTTTGTCATGAAGTTGGATCAAGAAACAAAACAGATGATGTTGAAACAATTTTTACATTTAAAAAAAAAAAAGCTTTTTTTTTTAGGTGGGGGAATGGGGAAATTGTAATGGAGCAACGTATTCGTTGATGTAGGAGTTGAAGCGAGAGGATTCATGTTCGGTCCACCGATTGCGCTTGCTATCGGAGCCAAGTTCGTTCCTTTACGTAAGCCCAGAAAACTACCTGGTACTCTCACTCTTCCCCTTCTTACCGTTTATTTTTTGGGGAAATCTCCCATACTATCCACGAATTTTTGTTATTTCGACAAAAATCTTGCAAGAATTCAAAATTTTCAAATATCTCGTACTACATCGCAAAATATGTTGCAATTTCCCAAGTAACAATAGAATTTCGGGATTTCGGTTTGTTTTGGTAAGGATTTTGATTTAGGAATTTCAGTTACTTAAACAATTTTGGTGTGGAGAATTTGAATTTCTATTATTTAAATTATTTGTATTTGCGGTTATTTAGGATATTGCAACACATTTTGTGATTTAGTGCGAGATATGGGAAAATTCTGAATTTTCGTTGTCAAATTAAAAATTGAAAATATTAACGAAAATTGGTGGGTAATAATATGAGAGAAATTGTAGTAAATTTCACTTACGGGGTTATAAAAAGAAGAAATTCGGACAATGACCCAACTGTTTTTGACGTATATGTATGCTTCAATGCAAGACACAGTTAGTGTCTGTATAGTCTTATGTATGTGTTGTAGTGAACAAGAGAGGTTTGTGTGTGTGGGAAAACGATATTTGGGGGGACAGGGGAAGTGATATCTCAGGAGTATGAGTTGGAGTACGGCGAAGATTGCTTGGAAATGCACGTCGGAGCCGTCGTGCCCGGGGAACGGGCTCTCGTTATCGACGATCTCGTGGCTACGGGCGGAACCCTTTGCGCCGCAATCAATCTTCTCGGTCCGTGCCTTGTTTTCTTGGGTTTATATACACTTATTTTTTTTTGGAGGAAATTGATTTTCTTGGACCAATTCAGAGCGGATGGGAGCTGAAGTTGTGGAATGCGCTTGCGTTATCGGGTTACCGGACGTTAAGGTTATCGCCATTTGCTCTGTTTTTCCGCTGTCCTGTAATCTTTCGTTTAAGGAACATCGAACTCTAACCAGAACTAGAGATGGACATTCGGTTCGGTAATTTCGGTTATCAACCGAAATAAATAAGGGTGTTTCGGTTATTAACCGAACCAACCGAATAACCGATTGGATATAAATTATTTTTCATTTATTTCATCATTGTTTTATTATTTTGAAAAAAAAATTGAAGTTTTGAATTTAAAATCGAGTTTACATAATCTAGATACTAAATAATTATCTCAATATTCGACTTTTGATTACTCTACTATATTGAATTTTAGATCGAGTAATATCTAGTGATACCCGAGAGATATGGGTTTTGAGTTTAGGTAACTCGAAAACCTCAGATATCCGACCTATACCTATCCTTACCAGACAGAGTAAAAGACGTGTGGTGAATAACCGAGGTTAAGAAATCTATGATTCTTGATTTCCATTTCAGGGGCAGGAGAGGTTGAAGGGGAAGCCATTGTACATTCTAGTCGAGCCTCGGATAATGGAGAAGGTTTGTTCAGGTAAAAACATGGTTTAGAAAGTTCATACCTTCCGTGATTGGCGGTTAAAACAGCAGTTCGTTCTGATTTTCCGAGCATTACAGAGTCGTGTTTGTATCCGTGCGTGACGGGCGACCTGCGGAGCACATCGGAGAATGGATTTCACTAACCTTTCTCTTCTAGAATCGTTGATCTCTTTCCGGGGGGCTTTGAAGACGAAATCTCGAGCTAACATTGCTTCTCCAGCCAAGGAATCTGCTTCTTCCACGACCAAAATCTGTTTTAATCGGCTTAGCTATTATATGAGAAACGAAATTTCCATTTCATGATGTATTATTAGATAACATCCTCGTCTCTGATAACATTCTAGTCCTATGATGTTCAAGAACTCATTAAGAAACTTGACACAAGAACAAGAACAAGAACATTACTGTCAATTCACAACTGCACCATATGTACGCAGCCAAAAGGGGGTCAGTGGGTTAAGTGGTAATGTTATATTACATATACTCAGCTGCTTGTCCTACAAAGACAGCGCGTTCTTACAGAAAACTTTCAACTGTTATCAGCAATACACTGAAGAATAGACATGGGAAAGAACAGAGGAAGAAGCTGATTAAAGGGCAGTCCGGAACACAAAGTATACCCGTTGAGCGGGGGTCCCACTACAAGGGTGTTTTGCAAGGTTGTTTCCCAGACCTCAAACCCGTGACTTCTAGATCACAACGGCAACACCTTGACAACGGCGCCAAAGCTCCCCTTCACAGCTTGTACATAATGACCAAAGGAATATTCTTCTGTTATGCAGTGACGCTTCTCATACGATCCTAATGCTTCTCATGCTCCGTAATGCAATTTGTTTTGCAGGTTTTATTCCTCAGTGTGCCAGTCTTCGTGTGCTGCTGGTCATCCGTAGCTAATTAGACCACTACTTTGATTTAAAATATGGCAGTTTTTCATTTTGTTACCTCTGTGACTGTCCATGAAAGTATCATACCTCTCTATCTATTAGATGTTTCAGCAGACGTCTCGGGTTTTTCCTCCTCGTTTGCTGAGTTCGTCTTTGGATCTGTTCTTAGAGCTCGGAGCATGATGGAATTCACCTGTTTTCTCAATTTGGCATTCTCGATGAAGATATCTGCGAGTACTTTCCTCAGATCGTCATCCGCTATTCTTGTTTCATCCCCGATGCTGAGAGGGTTACCAACATTCTGAACAGTGGTTTCATCAAACCCAGCAAGCAGCTGTGCCTGAAACGCCGCCACACAAACTCTTAATATGACGAGATTTCAAAGACATGCTTCATGATATGTAAGGTTGGAAACAAGGACATTCAGATGCATCAGAGACATGAAAAGGAGTTTTTAAAAGAATATATGAAGATGCGAGGTGGAAGAATAGAAGAAGAACCGAGCTTGAAAAGCGAGAAGTCAATCTTAAAATGATGGTGTAATAATAGAAGAAGAACCAATACCTCTTCGATTTGATCATCCGAAGTTGAAAGTAATCGCAACGCATCTGCTACGGTAGTCGAGTCCTCTGTGAAGTTACCTTGTTCGTCGTCCATTGACAAATTGATGTTGTACTCTTTGAGCCGGTCATGGAGAATTCTGCAGTCATTAAGCAGCCTTTTTCTTGCCGCTAATGCGTTCTCTAGCGATTTTCTTTCTTCTTGCAGGAGTTTCTGCAAAAAAGTGCAAAATATTCACTGGGCTATGGCTTTTGTCTCGGTTCTTGCACAAAGCGCAGAGTTTACATAATGTCTCCAATTACCTCGGCTTCGGACTTTTCTGTCAGAGAATGATTCAGATCTTTTTCCAGTTTGAGATGGGACCGTCTCAGAGATTTAACTTCCTTCACAAGAACTTTGATATCGGACTTTGATTTTGCTTCCAGTTCTTCATATCGCCTAGACAGATCCTCCAGTTGCTGTTTCGTAATATCCAGGTCTTGTAACAGTTCATATCTCTCGGAGCTAGTCGAGTTTCCAGTCGGCTCTGCATTTGAGCTCCCACCCTATAATAAGTTTGCAGATTCCATGCCAGACATTAGTTCTGGAAGAATTTGACTGAGAAAAAAAATTACTTCAAACCCGTTACCTCTCTCGACTTGAACTTCACTTCCATCTCAAGAGATTTTTGTCTGAGTTCTTCCATGTCCCACTGCATCTTGGTAAATCTCTCCCTCTCGAGCATAATAGCTTGCTCCAAATTCTCTTTGTTTCTTTGCTTCGTAGTTTCCAGTTCCACCTCCAAGTCATTAACCTGAAACGAAGGAAATAAGATTTCAAGTTATTCTCCCAAAAACCAAAAGTGATAAAATTCGAGAGTGTTTATCAAATAATACACGATTTTGTTCCTTCTTTATGTACCTTTTTGTTAAGGTAATCCTTGACAGCTATCTCTTGGTTCAGTCTTGCTATAAGTTCTTCCATATCTGTTTTCGCATTGGCGAGCCTTTGATTCATGGTTAACATAATCCTGTTCAATTTGTTAAGCAATTCCATAGGAAGAACGATTTGTGCATCACCCTGCAATACCGAGTTACCAACAATCCCGGAGGAAACTGAAACACCGGAAACTTCATGTAGGTCCAAGTGGCTGTTGCTACTCGAGCTTGGCATACAAGTGATGGGCATGTCATCACTTTCAGCAGATAGCTTTCTATCATGCAAGACTGTGTGACTTGATTCCGGTTCAGTGAAAACCTGTGAACCATAGTTAGCAGGAAGTATACATTCAGAAGCATTTCCGTTATACATGTCCTTCGGTAAGTTACTATTGACGTATCTTGAACGGACTTTGTGCTTTGGAAAGTCTTGAAGTTGCTCCAGAATAGTTTGTCCCATAGAGAGTCCCTCATCGATGTTGGACATGCTAAACCTTGCGAGCTTCTCTATTGGCTTTGTCAAATCTTCATCGAGAGTTAGATCTTCGGTACCAATTTCAGATATATCATCCCGACCCATGCTTGGTGATCCAAATTCAGATGTATCGTAAGCAGTATCGCTCCCGTAGTCAGATGTGAGCGATGAAGTGCCGCCAGCTTGAAACAAACTCAAGTTCGGGTGAACTAGTGGTGAAGAACTTGTGCTATTTGTGTCATTATTGGCGTCAGAAGCATTCTCATCTACGTCTTGGCATGCTGAAACACATGACTTACAGATCATTTTGAGACTCTAATGAAGCAAAAAATTCGTTAACGAGGCATGGAATTACTGAATTCCAAATATGTTGGCGTGCTATATATGTCAATCATGAGGTATAAATACAGGCCCGTACCAGACCTAGCAGCAGCTTCTAATTCAAGAAAGGACGCAACTATAACACTTCTCGACAAATCTATATCAGATAATAGCTTTGTCATCCACTCCTCCAGAGAGCACCTTCTCTGCAACAAGATCAGGGCATTCAAAGAATCTATTACTTGTGAGATTAATTGTATGAATGAACGAATACATCAAACATTGTCAAAAGTACAAGGCCACAAGATAGAAAGAAAACTCAGGACTAACACTGTTGATTCAATTCATTTAACCCCACAGATCGAATGCATACCTCTTCTAACATTGCTCTGCTTTTCATACGCATAAGCCCTTTGGGAGGAGCTGACGGAAAACTTTTTCTTGGAAATTCTCTTTTGAGCTGCAAAGGAAACCAAATAACACGAAGACAACGTCAAACACTTGCAGTTAGATAATCAAATAAGAAAAAAATCATTTTGAGAAGAAAGACAGACGGGAGGCTTGCAATGACCAAAGTTCAGAAAGAGCAAAATCTTACATTGGCTAATAGCTTAAGAAAATCATTAAATCTCCTCAAAACACCTCGCGTTGTTGTAACACCTTCAGGGGATTGCACACCCACCTGAACCCTGTAAAACTGTTCCACGGGAGAGTTGAAGGTATAGAGCTCGGTGTAACAGAAATTATTCAAAGACAACCTAAAACTTGGCAAATAACAAAGGCAGATACTAGGAAATCTTGGTAAAAACATGATGTTAATATTCACTCCGTCAATGTATAATATCAAGTCCAGAGAAGTATGGTAAAAATAATGGCTGACCCTTGTATGAGATAAAAACACTAGAGAGCCACTTAGTTAGATTTACCACTATAGGATCGGAATTTCTTGACTTCGGAAGGACAACCCATGAGGGTATTGTGACACAATAATTCCATCCTGTCCGAGGATCATGAGGCCAGACAGTATCTCTACCATTCTGCACAACATAGCATGAGAATTCAATTAATGCCTTGACTCTTCAATTATCTTATACATGATCACTGGAAAAACTCAACGAAACAGAAACTATAACGTCGGAAAAGTTCTCCATTCATGTGAAGTGCATTTCACAAGCGGTAAGATTTCAGTGAAACACGGAGTTTGGGTTGAAAATGGTTTCTGGGAAGAAAAAACGATGAAGCTGATATGCGAATCTGAAAAGAACGAGCAAATATCACTCAGCGAAACATCATCCCTTCGAACCCATCGTGAAACAGAAACTAAGCTCAGAATTCTCCCGGAAATCATAGATTCTAAGAAACGGGAACGAATCGAACAAACAGTGCAAAATCAAAAGGGGGAAAAAAGGATTACTGACTGCCAGCGGTTTCGTCGGCCATACAGAGGATCGATTAGCAGGAATCTCAGAATCCGAGTATGTCACTCCACAAGACCACATTGTAATTCGACAAAGCCAAGATTCAGATAAACTACGGAGTACGAATTAGCACTGGGACTTGAATCTTCGAGACATAAGGCAAAAAACAGGACTCACCCATTTGCGCGGCGGAAGGCTCCAATCCATCCCGAGCGGAAGAGGCGACGAACCATCGTGCCTGTGCTTCGGAGGACTCCGCCTCTGCATCATTTCCACCGGATTCTTATCTCTCTGAATCTGATCGCCCGATCACAGACGATCGGAGAAGAGATCGTCGAGCTACGATTCCCGATCGAGAACACCCGAAATCACGCGAACTCCAGATACGAATTTCAGCTGTAGGCCGATCAATCGATGGATTACTGAGAAAAGCCTAGGGTTTTTGCCAATCGTTAGATCGAGAGAACACAAGAAGATACCAAGGACCAGATGGCGTCTCTCTAGCGTTCTTTCTTCTCTTCCTCGCTACAATCCCACGGCGGTAAACGGCGGTGACCTTTACTTAACGGCGTGATTAGACGGAGCCGTGTACATGTATGTATGTATCTATGTATCTATACAGGCGCATATGTATAGGGATCGCCCACATTCCCGTGAGAGGTACATGTACATTATATATATATATATATATGTTTGATAAAAAAAAAACCTAACAATTCCTAACTTAGACTAATATTAATTTCTAAATTTGCAGAGATTTTTATTAATTTTCTAAATTTGTAAAATTGAACACGTTAATTCCTAAATTTGTTAAACAGTTTTATAATTGTCAATAGCGTTAATTTATAAAGAGATATAAAGAATATTTGAAAAGATTACGTAATATTTAGATTTAGTTTTATTTCTATATTTTAGATATTTATATTTATTAAATAAGATATTTTATGATTTTGTTTTCTGCTATAAATATTGTAATGTTATATGCTGAATAATGAGAAATCCGATGATTCTCTATCTCTTTCTCTATTATAATTGGTCAAAAAAACGAGTTGACCAATCCGATGTGGCACGTGACGTGGCGAACCAACTTAAAAAATTACTCTCACGTATGCAATTCCCCACTCTCTTCTCTCTTCGTCGTATTTCACCACCGTCCCTCTCGTCTCGTCCCGTCCAAGGAGTTGACCAAATTTATTATGTCGTAGAAAAATAAATTTAAAATGCAAAAGAAAACAAAAATTATTTTACAAAAGGTGAATCTAAAAAATTTAAACTCATATCACATGAAAATTAATAGATATAATTTTTAAAAACGGGAATATAAAATAAATAAAGATTAACAGTTCGTAACCTGTATTTGCATTCTATATATTTTCAAATAGTTCTTAGGATTATTTATGATCGCAGAAAAATCATAAATTTTTTTAGGGTATTGATTCAGAGGAGAATATGATTATTAGTCGACAGATTGGTGTCAAGATTGGTAACTCCTATCAGGTATGTTGGTTTATAGATTTCACTTAGTGGAAAGAAAAAGAAAACCTAGAGGAAAACCAATATGAAAAACCCGAATATCGTGTATATCACCAACGTAATCGAAAACTTACCTCTTGCTTGATGAAGCTTGAAGTAACAAACGATCTAGTACCTGTTTCAATCACCTAATGGTGAAAATACAACTCCTCTATATATATCTATACTGACGGAAAAGATTCCAAGACGCTTTGGAACTTATCTAGTAGAATCTGTGAAGAGTTTAGGATTTCAAAGACTTAGGATTGAATCCTGTGAGTTAGAACACGAAGAGAATGACTTCTTTGGATTTTTTCGGCATCCAATGAGTTCTAGTGTGTTAAAAGTTTGGACGGTCGTTTCAAACTTAATAGAGCTTCTAAAACCCTAAAATCTAAATTTAAAAAAAATCGAAGTTTGGTCCGGGCGGACCAGTCCACTGTTCCGAGCAGACCACTATCATGATCTGCAAGATCTAGAGCCTGGTCTGGATCGGACCAGATTTGGTCCATCTAGACCAGTTCATCTGGTTTTGACGGTCTGAAAGCTTAGCCTATCGTCTGATCTGGTGTTTGGTCCGGACCGGAGCAAATCTGGTCCATACAGGGTTTGGATAACTTTTTAATTATTTCTTTGTCATTTAGTACATAAATTTGACATAAGTCAAGACTTGAATCTCATGTAATGGTTTGTTTTTGTATATTCATACCTGAGATATCTATATATTCGACATAAAGAGTAGTGTGTTTTGACTGCGTCAAATATCGACTATAATAGGATGACTATAACAGCATTGCTCAAGCACTTTACGAGTCATATATAGGGGAGTAGATAATCAAGATAAGATTTGTCCTTCTCAAAACAAGATAAATATCGTTGGGTCCCGTGTGTAAGTAGTGTTAAAATGTGTGGTCGGATAGATGATTGTCATCTATTATTTAAAGTTTACCCTTGAGAAAACAATCAAATTTGATAAGGTAACTGGTTCTATGATTTTTGTCCAATAAATGATATCGCGTGAGAAAAAAAATCATCGCTTGAATTATTACCGCATTTGGTTAGATCACATCTAACTCTATCTGTCACAGATAATCATAACGTATTACTAGAGACCAATTATTACTTTTAATTCAAAATTCGATTTCGGATTTATTACCATGGTGGATGAGTCCGTAGGGTCACACATAAAAGGGATAGATGAAAATGTGTGTTAGATCGGATCGATGCAGAACTCAGAATTTTTCCAGAGAGTGGGACTGGGCCGATTTGGAATTGGACCGAACCGAGGGGATTAGGAATCTTAATAAACTTTTCCTAGTAGAATTAGGATTCGGGAGAGTTTATAAAATGAGAACATCTTCTAGGATTTTGTCCAAGCCAGAACAAGTCTAAAAATATTTTATCAGCCTCCTACCAGCCTTAGGCTCTTAGATCAGATGGAAGAGCTTTAGGAACAATTTCGAGTCTCCACGAGACCCTAGCACACGTAAGAGAAAGGGTCAGTGATTAAGATTTTTTCATCGCCAAATAAGATATTCGTTTGTTTACGTGACATTTATTTGACGTCAAGAGTTTTTTGGGAAAAAATTAAAAATACAACATTTATTTTTGAATAAATTAATTGTATAGAATTTTCTAGGACAAAAAAAAAAAGTATAAGATTTAAAATGAGATAATATAAAAGTATGAGGTTGTTTCGGCCATTCTCCATTTTACTAATAAATATATTTAGAGTTTTAGAGGGGGGGGGGGGGTAGAAGTAGTTGTTTCGACACTTTTATTAGAATTCGGTAAGAGTTTCGATCCTAAGAAGATCATACCCCTGCAACTCGGCATGAAATGTATCAGACACTGAACCTTTTCAAAATCTCAATTACAATATGACAACAAATTCTTGAATTTCGCCCTTGAAAGCAAACTCCACATGCTATAAATCAGAATATCTCGTAGGCGAGTGTCGAAGTGGATTTTTAGACACAACAAAGAGCTCGGGAAACAGGAGAAGAGAAATAACAACATAATCTCTTACAGGAGAGATGCTCTTACTTTAGGCAAGATGGCAGAGTAGGTCCGTGGCAAATAAAGGCGACGACTATGTATATGATCACCAGAAGTAGTAATATCAGCA